TCACTGGATAATATGGCGTAGTGGATATTCTAACACCGCTACTACATGATAATTTGTAATATATTAAGCCTATTTAATTAAAAGTAATCATCTAAATCGGTTCACAGATGACGCAGTTATAACGCCTAATTGAGATCCTCTTCAATTTGTGAAGTCTGTTAAAAATATAAACTGGAATTTAACAACAGAACTGCATTTCGGGTCAAAACACTTTCAATAAAATGGCCAACAAAGCAGTGTATTGAAGATTTTTATTTCTCTCGGCGATGAATTGTGGCGAATAGCGAAGACTTTTAAAACCTATTGACTTCACAGTAAAAGCTGTAATGGTTTACCAATAACGTAAGCAACGTTAAACGTAACGTGGGATTACAGAGATACGGATACTAGTTTATTTTCTCAACCGCAGCACGGATTTAAAAGATAGCAAAGCTGCGAAGACAATTGAACTGATAGACGGTTTGACCAGACGCAAGCTAGTTTTGAGTGTGGGCCAATGCACGAGAATACTTTTTAATATGTGTTTTTTTTAATAAGAACAGGAAACCCGATAATTTTGAATATATTTTTTTTTTCGTTTGGCTTTTATCAGCAAATTTAAACATCGGTACGTCAAATACCTCAATCCCCTCCCCTCTCCGTGGGGACCATTATAGATCTATAACTTCACCAATATAACACATATTTATTTAATTACTATAGGAGAAAACTCCTCAAAACAAACAAAATATAAAACTACTAAAAATGCATACTATGATCTATAAAAACAACTAATAATAAATATGTTGTATTAATCAGCAAAAATACCTGCAAAGCTACTTACTAGGTCATACAGGATGAAATATATACCGAGTCATAATATAAAAATCACATTGATTTTATTGAATACGACAACGAAGTTATTACTTTTCCTACACATATCGCAAATACTTTTAATAATTTCTTCGTTGAATTGACAAATAAAGATATCCAAAACAATAAACCAAATAATAAATGCTATCAAATCTTAAATAATTATATTTATCTAAACCCTGTTGACGAATATGAAACAAATAAAGAATAATGACCTTGAATAATAGTAACTCAGATTGATATGAAGGTATTTGTACCAAATTAATTAAGGCCTCCAATAAAAAAGTGGCTAGGATCTCAGATTTTTAATAAATTTATTAATAGTCTCTGATATCGTCCCTGATAAAATTATGTTTTTCTTTGATTAAGCCTTTGTTCAAAAAAGACAAAACATTAATTTTGGACAATAATTACCGTCCTATTGCGCTCATGTCAATTTTGTCAAAAGTATATGAAAAAATTGTGCATACTAAACTTTGATAAGTATCATGTCCTGTATCCCAAGCAGTATGGGTTCCAGAGGGGAAAATCTACTGCACATGCGGTTTTCGATATGGTAAATGAGACTTACATGCCTAAATGGTAATAATTAGACAACTGCTCTGTTCTTTGACATGTCGAAGTACTTTGATTTTGTATCACATAACGAATGAGGCTGGCAGGCAATACTACTATTAACGAATATTTTGATGACAAAATTAATAGTTTTTAGCACCTACAATTAATGTCTGATTTATTTATTATATTTTTATCATTATGTTATTAAGAATTAAGTATATGATAATAAAAACAATAACTTATGCAATTTTTCTTACACGTACTAATTATTATTGAAATTATAATGTTATTAAATATTTATATTAGTAATGCATGATCATGTTAACCAAATATTTGTATGCCTTCTAAGGCGAAACATAGTGATACTTATCATACATTTTCCACTAAGCTTGTAACTTTTTTACCTATGTTTTACAAACAAATTATTTTGAATTTGAATTTGGATGCCTCAAAGCACGGTCCTTAGCCACCTGCATCCATCGACTTCCTGCATGTTTTATCAGATCGTCACACTATCTAATGGGGGTTCACGCTACACTTAACCTACTGGTACGAGGCTGCCGCTCATCACTACAATCTTCACTACCAGGCGTAAAATACCCAGACAAAAAGGAAGCAACATCAAAGTTGCTAAACATCTGGTGCTGCGTTTGCCAATGAGAGAGGTCAATACCCAGCAGGTCTCATTGAAGGACTGATAAATATGAGAAGAATACGATAATATTTGTTATGTAAGTATCTGTCTATCCATCTGATATAAATGTGTACGACTTCAAGGCAAGAGTGAACAGGCTAGGCGATTTACCATCTTCGGCTGGATCACCACTTACAATCAGGTAGGATAGTTGTCAAGAACTGACTTAGATTGAAAATTAGAATGTGTCATTTGCATGTCACATCACATCATGATACTGCCAAATAGCCGTCAAAGTCATTAAAAAGGTAGATCTTTGCACATTTTTATTCCTGCTAAACTATTCAACTCGATAATGGACTTAATGGATCAATTCTAATGGAAGAACTAGGTAACCAACTTATAAGTACTCAGCGAGTATGATATTACAATCATAAGAACTTTAATAAAATAAATAATAAATTTTATTATTTAGGTATTTATTTTTCGCAGCACATAACCGCAAAAATATTTTAATACTAAAAATTTGTAGCTATTAGACAAGAATGGTTGTGGATTGCTGGTTGTTTGACGAAATCTGTTCCAAAAGTCTGGGAAAATGATACTAATTCAGATTCCAAGAACGGATAGTTATTTATTACGTATAAATAAAAGTGACTTATGCTATCTTAACTAACAGAACCATTCTGCGAGGTAATTTGCTTTTAGCGCCATCTATCAACAAAAATGTAAACTTCTTACAAACTAAATTTAATCAGTTTAGATTATTGGACATTCCGCCCACGAAGGACACTTTGTCCTTAAAGTACAACAACTAAATAATCTGAAATACAACTTTAAAATTAACAAATAAATTCCTTTAAATAAAAGTGTGGACTGTAATATAAAACTCAAAGTGAAATTTTACAAATTTCATTTGTTAGGTAAATTTGCAATGTAATAAATACCCTATACAATTAATAAGATTATAAAATACAATTTTAGTCCTTAACATTTAAAATACATAATTTTAAAGCTGGACGTTTCAGCAATGAGTATTTACAACGCAAAGTTACGACACGTGTTATATTATCTTTGCCTGGATGAATTTCTATAACCCTACCATAGAGCCATTTAGCGGGCGGTAAATTATCTTCTTTTACCAAAACAATATCGTCTACTTTTGGCTCATATATTTGCGAATTCCATTTATATCGTTGAAAAAAATTAACCAAATATTCCTTAGACCACCGACGCCAAAAATTCTGTATCATTCTTTGAGTTAACTGCCATCGACGTAAGCTACTCATATTTTGAATTTCGTAATTGCTATCGGGGGCAACAACAAGCGATTGTCCTATTAAAAAATGGCCGGGAGTTAATGGTGCTGGATCATCGTGATTGCCACTAGCTTGAGAAAGAGGTCTTGAGTTTAAACAAGCTTTGATTTGTGAGAGTACAGTATACATCTCTTCAAATGTGAGAGTTGAATTATTTATAATACGACGTAAGTTATGTTTTGCACTTTTGATCGCAGCTTCCCATAACCCGCCAAAATTAGGGGCTCGGGGAGGAATGAAATGCCAAGTTGTACTATTATTTGCTAATACAGAAGCAATCTCATTAAGCATCGAATGTTTCTCTCTAGCAAATAATTGCTTTAATTCCTTTGATGCTCCAATAAAGTTTGTCCCATTATCGCTATAAATATCACTACAATGGCCACGGCGAGCAACAAATCGCTTAAAGGCGGCGGGAAATCCTTGAGTAGTAAAGTCAGAGACAGCCTCGATATGCACTGCTCGTGTCACCATACATATAAATAGACAAATGTATCTTTTATAACACTTGTTGCCTCGGCCTTTAGACATTGTCAAGTCAATAGGACCTGCATAATCTACACCTGTACGGAGGAAACGCTTACATGGTGTCACTTGACTTGAGGTAACTGTCCCAATAACTGATTTTGGGTCGTGGTAGAATAACGGATACAAGTTATACAGTTATGAATGTGCGATCTTACCAAATTTTTTACTCTAAGGATCCAAAACTTACTTCGAATAAAATTTATTGTTAATTGCTGACCTCCGTGTAATGTACTCTCATGTGCATCTTTTACTATAAGTTTGGCTAACTGAGAATCATAAGAAATGATAATTGGATGTTTGCTGTCATCGGAAAGTTTAGCATGATGAATCCTTCCTCCTACTCGCAGCAACCCTATATTATCTATGAATGGGTTCAAAGTTATTAAAACACTCTTTTTACTTATACACCCATCTTTTTTAAGGCTCTGAATTTCTTTTCCAAAGGCCTCCTGTTGAGATAGGCGCAGTAAGCAATTAAAAGATTCACTGATTTCCGATGCTGTTAAGAAAGAAGGTAGAGTTATTATTTGTTCATTGGTTGTGGTTAAATCTTAAAAACCGTCTACAAAATGCCACTACTAATTATATATATACACTAATAATTCAAGCGACATAGAGTAAAATTAGTTCAATTTAATATTATTATTACTGTGTAATCTGTGCTACTTACCGGCAAGTGAGAAAAAGTTGTGGCTTTTTATTGAACAAAGAAGAAAGAAGACTAGTTCGGGTGCTAAACATTGGTCGGCAATTTATTGAAGAGGAGCAAATCAAATCTACAGATACTGGATTGGCGCAGCTCGAAAAATAAATGCAGCTAAGTGTTAAGTGCAAACAAACTGTGAGTACAATTGATCTTTAATAAGTGTCCGAGAACTTGTAAAATAATTCAATTCGTGCATTAACTTGTAATAAATTCTAAAGTAGTTTGGGACTTAGAATAATTCACCAAAAAGTGAAGGCACGGGGAACCTACGCCCGTTTTCACCCAGAGGATTTATTAAAAAATACTTAGAAGTTTTTTGCAAATTTTATCTTAGGACTTCTTTCTGGAACATAGTACATTAGTAACAAATTGAATAGCAAAACAGAAATTATAAATTAAAAAAATGGAAGCCGATTTAAGGATTTTAACGGACCTAAAAAGTCAAATAGAAAGAAGTCGAGTTAATTTTAAAAAGTCACCAAAAGAGCGAATTACGCCTATTTTTATTGAAATAAGACAGGAGGCTTTTGAAAAACAATTTGGTGAATTTTCTGAAAAACATACGGGATTAATCAGCAAATATAAGCCCAACGATTTGAATAAAACTACGTATATTAAGGAAGATTTGTTTCAAGCACTTTATGATACTTATTTAGATTACAAGGTTGAATTAAAAAGTACATTGTCCAAGTTTAAAAATGATATTGTGTCACCTAGTTGTAGTGAAACATCATCTAAGCAATCTATGAAATCGTCATGTGTCAAGTTACCAAAAATATCTATTCCGAAATTCAGTGGCAAGTATACGGAGTGGTCTACATTTCGCGATTTATTTATTTCTCTTATTCAAAATAACGAAACACTTGACGACGTTCAAAGACTGCATTATTTAAAAACACAATTAACTGGTGAAGCTGAACAATTGATTCGTCACATTCCTATTACGCAATCAAATTATAAAAAATGTTGGCAATTGTTAACTGATAGGTATAATAACAAAAAAATTATGTCAAATTGTATATTAAAGCGCCTATTTAGTCAGCGTAACATAACTTGTGAATCTTCCAATTCTCTTAAGGAATTATTAGACACTACCACAGATTGTTTGCATGAATTGTCAAATCTAGGAATTGATATAAAGTCATGGGATGTTATCATCATATACATAATTAGTTTGAAGTTGGATGTGGAAACTCGTAAACAATGGGAATTGTATGTTAGCCAGTTACCTGATGAATTACCGACGTTTAAGCAACTAAAAGAATACTTGGAAACTAGATTTCGAGCTTTAGAATTTGTGGAACCTAGTAAAAGTAAAACTCGCGCCAGTTATGCCAATTTAAACAATAATCCTAAAGCATTACATGTTACTTCCAATTTTACATGCCCCCATTGTTCCGAAGGCCACCGACTGTATAATTGCAAACAATTTGCTAAAGAAGATGTTGATAAGCGAAGAAATATTGTTCAATCACTTGGCCTTTGTTTTAATTGTCTTGGTTATAATCACAGTAATAAAATATGTCGCGTAACAATCAAATGCCGAATTTGTAAGCGAAAGCATCACACTTTATTGCATCCAAAAAGTCAAGTTAATTCAGCGACATGCGGTGTCGCAATGGAATCGACATGTAATAACAATGATACAATTTTAGATTCCCCTAAAGACAATACAATAACAAACATTGCAACCCCTTTTTTGAAGGATAAAGTTCAAACAAAAATTTTATTAGCAACAGCCTTAATTAAGGCTGAATCAAAAAATGGGCAAACTCAGATTTTAAGGGCTTTGCTAGACCAAGGGTCACAAGCTACTTTTATATCTGAATCCACGGTACAATTATTGCGTTTGGCTAAAATTCCTACTAGAAGTTCAATTTCTGGTGTCGGGAGTAGTCAAAGTAAAACAGTCTCCAAGCATGTTGTTTTTATTAATAATCAGTCTCTCCATGACTCGTCTCTCGATGTACTGAGCACTGTTACCACAGTGTTACCTGAAAGGAAGTTTACTATTGCAGATTGGCCAGAACTTCACTGCATTGCTTTGGCTGATCCTCATTATAATAACCCCAATAAAATAGATTTTTACTGGGAGCTGACGTTTATTGTCATATTCTGAAAGAAGGCTTAATTAGAAGTCCTGAGGGCTTAACTAAAGCACAAAATACATACCTCGGGTGGATATTATCGGGTCCCGTTAATAATCAAAGCGACCCTGAAAATTGTCACAATTTAATTTTAAGCATTCATGCTCATCTGGAAGATAGTGAGTTATTAAAAAGGTTTTGGGAGCTCGAGTCTGAACCTTCTATCATTGAAAAAAGTATATTAACTCCTGGAGAACAATCTTGTGAACACAATTTTGAAGAAACTACACGCAGAGACGAAAAAGGTCACTACATAGTTAAGCTTCCTTTTCGATCTTCAGATCCATCCTGTAAATATGGCCATTTAAGAAGTATCGCCGTCAAAAGATTATTAAATCTTGAGCGCAAACTAAAAAGAGATGATGAACAAAAACAAAAATATTCTGAAGTAATAAATGAATATATATTACTAGAGCATATGGAAAAATTATCAAAAGAAGCTAAATACGAATACGATAAGATGTGGTTACCTCATTCAGCAGTAATAAGAGAAGATAGAACAACGACCAAAGTTAGAATTGTATTTGATGCATCTGCTAAAGGCACTAATGGAGTTTCGCTGAATGATACTTTGATGGTAGGTCCAAAATTACAACCTGATTTACGTCATATCGTTATGCGTTTTCGGCAACATCCTATTTGCTTAACAGCAAATATAATAAAAATGTATAGACAAATTAAAGTATCAGATGAGGATGTTGATTTTCAGCGCATAGTTTGGAGAGAAAATGTAGAGTCTGACATTTAGGATTTCCGATTGTTAAGATTAACATTTGGAACTTCTTGTGCTCCTTACCTTGCAGTAAAGGTCCTACAGCAAATTGCTATTGATGAAGGCCATATGTTTCCATGTGCAGCACCTAGAGTGATGACAGATTTTTATATGGACGATTTAATGACTGGCTGTCAATCTGAATCAGAAGCTATAAAGATCTACGAAGAAATGAATGAACTACTAGGCAAGGGATGTTTTAAGTTGCAGAAATGGTCAAGTAATAATGTAAAATTGTTAGAGAAACTAGAAAAGTGTGGCGGGACAAATTTAGAAATAAAGACTGATGAAATTTCAAAAATATTAGGACTTACCTGGAATAGAAAATCTGATGAGTTCGATTACAGTGTAAATATTGCTTCATCGTCGTCCTCTGCACCTGAAACAAAAAGAAAAATTATTTCTGAAATATCTCGCCTGTATGATCCACTTGGTTGGATAGCTCCTTGTATAATTACATCTAAAGTATTTATTCAAAAAATATGGATAGCTGGGATTGACTGGGATGAGGAATTGCCAATTAATCTTCAAACTGAATGGAGGCATTATCGAAATGAACTAACAAAATTAGTTGACTTTCACTTAGCACGGTGGTTTCACAGAAGAACTGATGATATAACTGTCGAACTACATGACTTTAGTGATGCATCTAACATTGCTTACGCTGCTGTTGTGTATATAAGAATAGTTGATGCGAAAGGCAAAGTTTATTCAAGTCTTGTAACAGCTAAGACAAAAGTAGCACCTATAAAACAAATTTCTATTCCACGCTTGGAACTATGTGGAGCAGTTTTAGTTACTAAATTAGTAATAGAAGTAGCAAAAACATTAAATATTGCACAATTAAACTTACATGCTTGGACTGATTCCACTGTTGTTTTGGCTTGGTTAAGTGATCATCCCAGTCGTTGGAAAACATTTGTGGCCAATAGGACATCTGAAATTCTTAATTTGCTTGAGTCGAATCAGTTTTCGCATGTAAAATCTGAAGACAATCCAGCCGATTGCGCATCTCGCGGTATATCACTTGCAGTTCTTTTAGAAAGCAAACTCTGGAAAGAAGGCCCCAGTTGGTTACGTGATAGATATATTCAATACTCACGTCCAAAGAGTATACTTACCTGTTTAGAGAAAAAGACTGTCAAATCACACGTAGTAACTGAACATGATCCTGAATTTTTTGAAAATCTATGCTTGAAATTTTCATCCAAGAAAAAGCTGATCAGAGTAGTGGCATTTTGTAGACGAAATCTGTTCCAAAAGTCTGGGAAAATGATACTAATTCAGATTCCAAGAACGGATAGTTATTAATTACGTATAAATAAAAGTGACTTATGCTATCTTAACTAACAGAACCATTCTGCGTGGTAATTCGCTTTTAGCGCCATCTATCAACAAAAATGTAAACTTCTTACAAACTAAATTTACATCAGTTTAGATTATTGGACACTGGTGCATGAAGTAGGTAATTAAAACCTGAGTTACAGGTCACCAGGCTTCCATCTTAGTTACCAATAATCAATAAGCTTTCAAGGTAAAAAAATATAAATATATGTAGATATGGGTGCGAGAATTTGTGTGTGTGTGTGTGTGTGTGTGTGTGTGTGTGTGTGTGTGTGTGTGTGTGTGTGTGTGCATGTGTGTGTGTGTGTGTGTGTGCGTGAGTGATAGAGTGAGTAGTGTGTAAAGTGTGCGTGTGAGAGTGCGAATATATGAAGAATACAATAGAATGTTTATTTGAGAATGAGTGTATAAATAATTTCTGATGCAATTTATTATAAAGGTTAGTGCCACGGAATAAAAATAGCACCCTAATGCTGCTGTATTTTGTATGATGAGTGTAGGGAACTGGAAACCCTTTTTACTGGAAGCGAAGCATTCTATCTGTATCCGCAAGGGTGACTCAATTGAAGATCAATATAAATGTCTATGGGCCACAACATCTACTTACCATCAGGTGGACTGTGTGCTCGTTTGTCACTCTTATTCTACCATAAAGTCTGGAAGCGTGACTTAATCTTGTTATAAATATCATTGACAAACCATCGCTTTGCTTTTTTAAGTATGCGTAAATTACGTTGCACACGAAGAAGATTTCTTACGCGGAAATTGAATTTTCACTAACTTAAATTCTTTGACTTCGTCGCAAATGTCGCTGGCTTAACATTTCAAAGCTTAACTCTAATAGTCCTTAAATTAAATTTTTAAATGATTACACTATTATATATTTTTACACCGTCATACCACGGTTTTGTAAGTGTTATAAGGGGTGTCAGAGGGAAACTTAAATAGGATATGGGCAGAAATATCTTCCTGGTACTAACTTAAAATAATAAAAATTGGCGGTTGCTTAACTGCTTGCCAAGCGTAGTAACTATGGCCTTTGTTCAGCGGTGGACTTTTGATAGTATGTAACAGTAACGGTAAACGTGGTTCGAGCATATATATATCGCTGCTCTTTGGATTCTGCCTACCCATAACGCCTCCAAGATACTGATGAAAACTAAGCTATTAAAAAGTGGAGTTAAAGTTTTTTAACAAAGGCAAACACAAAACATTTTTCCATTAGCCTATTTCCACAATCGAGTGGCAATCCATTCACAATACATCATGATACTGGCTGTATAGTCGATAGGTTATTTCAGTATTATTTATGTTATCTACAATAATTATTTCCGGTGAGACACCACATATTAGTTTTCAATAATGACCACACTGTGTGTGTTTCATTGCTTTTTGCTTGAACTTGAACTGCAGCCATTTGCAGTAAATATTATAAACTGTTAGCATGTTTATTTTATTTATTTTACTACGCATACGTTTTCTTATTACTGATAATGATTAAACTGCGTAAGCAAGAGAGCAAGTTGAACATCCGCTCTCACACTTTTATTATTTTAAAAAATTAACGCTATCCTGATGTATTTCCGAGATCAAAATTGCGATCCTCTATCGAATTCTCTAACATACTAATATTATTCATCTAGTCTAGATATACTCATAAGTGTCATGTTGCATTAGCTATAAATTTACCAGTATGCAAGCAACCTGGCTTCGATCCCTGTCGGCATCAATGAAATTGTTAATTACAATTTAAAGTGCTGGTATACCTCGTGCTCGGCGGTAATTTTTCACGAATATGCTAGTGAAATTCACCTTGAACACAACACTACACATTGAATAAACCTAGTTTGATGGATTTTATTGCGATTTATATGCTCATTTTATAGTCCCGACATTTTGAGTACTTGGTATTACCCATGGTCACGAGGGGGGTGGGGGGCTAAAGTGTTTAAATGACGACATTAAAATGAAGTGAAGTCTTACAGTTGTATACTTGGCCTGGGATTTAATTTTAATAATTATAGGATTCCAAGTAGATGGTAGCATCTAACCATCCTCGCTATTGAAATTTGTGTGTTTTTAGATTTCAGTAGCCTGACGAATTATCCTTGGTTTATCGGTGTAATTAATTTAATTCATTCACTCATCAATTCGTCACATTGGCCATGTGTTCTTTTGCTCAGGTCGGTGAAAACATCCATTAAAGCCACGAAATTTCATGACATGATGTAAAGTTCGACAATACGCACTAATTGATCTGTATATAACTGTATGTAAGTTGTGACTTTAATATAAAGTACTAAAAACTGAAAGTTAGCCAACGAAAATATCTGTTGACCTAGAATAAAGATATAATACAAAATATTTTAGTTATCCAGCTTTTGCATTAAATTCTAATTATTTTCCCGTTTTAGCATAACGACTATCACATGCGTGCCAAGCGGTTTTTGCCACGTGGGATCGCAATTTAGAACAATTTAATTAAATAAATTGTTAATCGTATAGTCATTTGATACATTTGTTACGCAAACTATCAGGACTCTATAATATTCTATTGTTACCGGGCTTGGTCGCTATATCCCTCTTACATTGACTGCCTTGTTGGTCTAGTGGTCATGAACGGGATTGCTGAACATGGGCCCTGAGGTTAGAATGCCGGATTGGGTCAAAAAATCAGTTATTAGGTTTTTCTGCCCAGAAATTTTCAGTAATAGCCCGGAGTTAGGAAGTTCGCTGTGTTTCATCCTAGTGCCTTGGAAAGCCCGTAAAGCCGTTATGAGGTTGACCTCTCTCCAGTGTTTTTTTTATTGGATAAGGATGAGAAACGAGCACACAGTCCACCTGATGGTATGTGGC